TACAAATTCCCTATGATGAATGTTATCAATATGTGTATCTAAAATATAATAGTAAACTTTTTAAAACTTTAAATTTTAAAACTTTAAACTTTAAAAAATGGTAACTCAGGAGATACTCTTTGAGCTTGGAGATTTGGGGCAACCCCCCGCCCCGTGACTGTAAATGTCAGCTTTTTGAACAAAAATAATTCAGTTTTTATTCCCTTATAGTATTTCTCCAGTTTTTTTTTTCTCAGAATCTTATCATGGCACACCCCAAGATACATTATTAATTAAATTAGCACATTATAGTTAAATTGGCTATAATTTAAGGTTAAGATTTTTTGTCTAAAATAACAACACCATCAAGATATTAATATGCTGTGGTTTAAATTTTCAAAACTAGATTAAAATACCAAAGAATTTATATTTTACAACAGTAATTTCCTGTATTTTTATCATTAGGTTTTTGTATACTAAAAAGTGAGCATTGGTGGTAACAGAGCCTTTGACTGTTAACTCATAAAATGTTTTCTATAGTCAGTTTATGACTAGCTAAACAAACAACTATTATTTTAATTTATAACAAAACATATATTTGGTTATATGCATGTATTTGTATGCATCAAAAATAAGATAACTTGTGAATCTAAGATTTAAACTTAAATTTGTAGAATTAAGACTACATAAGTTTAGTAAATACAAAATAACTAATAGGTATTATTTTTATGTAATATACATCTATAACTTAGACATATGTATAAAATGATCAAAATTTAGTATCTGTTTAAATCTGATCTTTACATTTTACATCAATTTTCTTCAATTATTTAAGCATTTTGTTATTGAATAAATTAAATATCCTTGTATTTTGGGTAATAAATCTATTCACAGTCATGAAATCTCATAAATTTGTAAGAGATCTAGTAATTTTCTTAATACTTGTCAGTATAGTTATGCCCTGTGAAGCCTGTTGAAACAATCTAAATTTTGTCCAAAGAGTAAAAATTAAGAAAATTTGTACAAGGATCTCTATATAAGTTATAACATTAATTATTGCTAAGCTCATGGTACTTTAAATGTATTTTCATTTCCCAAGTGTACAGGCCTTTTAAGATACAAAACTGCAAAAAAAAAAAAAAAAAACCAAAAAACCACCCCATCATCTTATCCTACTGGTGACTCCCTGGCTAATGTCTATGATGGTAAATTTTTTCAGGTTCAAACATCTGGCTGTCTGTTACTTGTGTTCCATCCACTTATGATGAAATGCGCAAGCCAATTAAACATAATATAATTAGCCAGATGATATAGACAACTTTTTCAGGCTTGTACATATGCGATTGTACTATAATTGTGCTTTAAAAGTTAAAGGTACCTCAACAACACAGTTTAAACAATGTTACTCTAAAGATTGTTAGACATTAATATTATACAAAGTACAGCAATAAATAGGTATATTCTACATAAATGTTACTCTATTAAAATGATAACAAATTTAGGTAAAAGTTTATGTCAATGTCTTCAACTTAGATGAAACTAACTAGCTAAAACATTGTTTTACACTAAAATGGGTATTTAAATGTATTTCAGAAATGATAACAAAACATAATGGTTCGAATATAATGTCTTTATGATTGTCATGCTAAGATGCTATATTGCCCTTTATCTCAAAATTTCCCTGAAAACTTCTATAGCTATCTGTTAACATCTACAAAAAATGATTTCTAAGGAAACTGACTGGTAAAAAAATAACAGTTCTCCAGCTATACATTACATTTCAAAGGTACTTGATAAGACTGATAGTTGAAAAGGGGCGAATATTTCTTTCTTTAACTGCTTCCTGCTGGCAGAGGGCACTGTACTGGGGTCTAGGGGAGTCAATGGGATGACAGTTGATGCCCAGGTAGAAGCTGGTGCCAGGTGTTTTAGTCAGGACAACTTCACTGGTGAATGCATGTATGTTAGACTGGGAAAACAAAGAGACGAGATGTTATGAGGAGGCATGGCACTCTCATATTTAAGGACCCAGGTGAGGTAGAAGGGAAGGTGCCTTTGATTTAGACATGTCATTATATCAGGACCATGTTGAGGTAGAAACATTTCAATGGTAAGGCAGAATTCTGAAAATTAAATGTGGGGTTAGGAGGAGTGAAGTTATGGAGGTCATTACTCCCCCATCTGAAAGGGTAAAAGTTAAGAGGGTAGATGGATAAAACTTGTCTCTGGTCCAGGAGTTGAACTAGAAAAAATAGGGGGAGCAGGGAAGGCGGTGGCTGTACCAGTATAGGGGAGGTAAGGGCTTAGGCTTTCAGGGATGTTGCATTTAATCAAACAGCTGCGGGTAGAAAGAACTAAGACAGTTGTAACATAGAACATTATGAAGATGATCTTACGCATGATATGGGAGTCTTTAGGAAAGACTGTAAAGAGTCCTGCTGTAAAATGATCATTAATAGAACGTAAGAAATTAAGAACCAAAGTGGATAACAAAACATGACTTAGCCTGTTAACTGTGTCTGCCTTCATGAAATGGAGATGGGTGGGTGACAGAAGATGAGATGACCACTCAGAATGATCAGATTTAGGGCTGTGAGGGAATCGCTTAGCCTGAGTGATGTGAAACCAGGATGGCAGTCTAGCAACTTTGATCACTGTTGAGGTTAGCAAGAATATCAGGTATGGGTTGCTGTAACCTGGTTGTAGTCCTTGGAATGATTTGCTGCAACAGAACTTTAGCGAGTATATTACCATTCTCCCTGGTTGTGTGAAAGGCTTTTATGTATCCTGAAAAAGTATAAACAAAGTGAGAAGACAAAATGTATCTGTCAGTCTTGACCAGGGTTGCCTGAGAAATTGGTGAACAAGAAAGGAAAGAGGTGGTCTTATATCACTGAGGAGAGGTTTACTAGAGATAACAGGTGTAAGCTGTTGAGACCTCAGTGTCTGGGTCAGCCTGTATAAACACAAGGGAATAAAAGGCATTTTAAGATTTAGGACAGGGACCTGCACGAAATAGGCCCTGTTTGTAAATGGCATAGGTTGACCTTTAATACTCCCTACAGATTTGAGGACTTAATATAGTGGCCTGAAAACTCAGGAAGAAGTCTGTACATGTGGCCTCTATGTCCACAAGTATAGAGAATGTCTTACCTGAGACTTTTAGTGGGACATGGACTCTGAGACAGACACCCATAAAGGTGGTTGTTGTTGGCCCTGAGCCCCATCAGTCTTTTTTTTTTTGTCTTTTTCCTTTTTATTGGGGATCGAACTCATGACTGCCTGCTTGCTAGGCAGGTGCTTTTTGCTGCTGAGCTAAATCCCCAGCCCTGGGCCCCATCAGTCTTCAGCAGCAAGTTTAAGCAGATCTGTCGGTGATGAATCTGGAAGTGTTTCCATTTCCTGTGAGGGCTGGAAGTTAGGATGGCTTACCCACTCTCTGGAGGCTAGGACAGTCCAGTATCCCTGGGGTAAGGTCTCAAAGAATGCCAGGATGGGTCACTCTCTTGCCCAATGTCTTCTTCTGCATTTGAGGCATGTTCCATGGGGGGTGTCAGGCAGCTCCACCTTGTGTTGGTTTACCTGTCTCAGAAATCCTAGTGTCACAAGTGTTGTCTCTGTTGTTGAAAACACAAAAAGCCATGTTAAGGTCTTTATGAGGTTTGAAGGTCAAGTTTTGCCTTTTTGTTTGAGATCTGGACTACAGTAGAAGGTATCTGTAGAATTAAGTATGCAGGAGTTAAATATAACCAGCAGGGTATTTATAACTTTAGTAATGACTTCCCATAAGGAGGACAAGGTCCAGAGAACTTTAGGAACTGACATGTTATTTATGTCATATATATAAGTATCTCTTTATGCTGTTAAAATGTCTAATGCCATCTGATTTTTGGAGGCTGGCCTGTTTAATTTTTTATCTTTTTATTTAGGAGAGAAATCAGCTGTGGTGTTATTTAATATCAGTTGAATATAGTTATTTATGGCTCGGTGGAGGGCTGAACCAGGGCAGGCAGATAGGCTAGGAAAAGGTTTAAGTTTGGCTTCTGCCGCAGTGTCAGTTTTGTTGTTTTGTATGCATCATATAACCCTTGTCTTGGAAAAGAGCCAGTGGTTCCCAGCAAAAGGAATGTATAATCATCCCTAACTTTAGTTGTTAAACAGGAGATCGATTGGTGACAACACAATACAACACAGGTAATAAGCCCAACATAGAACACCACTGGCAGTCCACAGCAAAAGGAATTCACAAATGACAGTACAGTATAATATAGGCAGTAAGCTCAACACAGAATGCCACTGGTGGCTCACAGCAAAAGGAATTCACAAATACTTCCCAATTTTAGTTGTTAACCAGGAGATTACTGAGGGCTTTGATTTATAAACAAGGCTGGTAAAATTACCAGCTGGCCACTGTCCCGTTCATCAGCCAAAGTCTTGTCTATTACCGGCTTATTTAACCTTGATTAGATGGTTTGAGAATGTAAATAAAAATAGCATCTCTGAGCTGAGCAGCCCAGCTGCTGTCTATCTGTGCCTATGTTTAAAGCAGTGTTTGTGAGAAGCCTGCCTGAGAGACTCGCAGTGCCTAAGGCAGGACGGAAGTGTGAGGCTGGGCGGGGCACGCTCAAGGTGGGCGCACTTGTCATGGCTGGAACCCAAAAAGGCAGCAGAAACAATCTGAACTTTATATCTGAAATCACGAATACAGCATCAGATCACAATTGTCTGCTGCACCGGTCTCTGCGCTGGCAGATAGAGCGGGCCTGCAGACAGAGCCATACCTATGCTTGGGGGCGGGGGCTGTGATCTCTAGCATGCAGCACATAGGTGGAACACTCACAGTGGGCAGGGTGCTTAGGGCAGGCACGGTGCCAGGTTGAGGGTGGCACATGCAGAGTGAAGGCGGGATGAGCGGTGGGATGTAGCATGCAGGGCAGGGCTGGGACTGCCCCTAGAAACACACAAGGTGGCGGCAATGGCTGCGCATGGGGGGGGCAGGGCTGGGAAGGTGCATGGGGGGGTGGCGCTGTGTGCTGGGAGGCAGAGTTGGGACGCATCCTGAAGTTGGGACTGCTTCCAGAGGCACAGTTGGTAGCCAGACCCAGGCGGAGCTGAGCCACCACGTGGAGCTGAAACTGCTAGTGGGGCACGCGGATTAGGGTGCAGCATTAAAGTCAAACTGCGTGTGGACCTGGAGTGCAGCATGAGAGCTAAGATATCGCACGAAGTTGGGGGGCGGCGTGAAAGCCTAAAGCAGCTTAAAGCAGTCCTGCACATATCTCTCAACACTGTTTGGGCTCGTTTATTTTTTATCTTGGCGAGGAATGAGTTGGCGTGAGTCGGCGTGCAAGGTAAGGGGGAAGGGAGGGGAAGCAGGGAGGAAAGGAGACACTGAGAAAGCTCTGAAAGGCTACAGGGAAAGACACTATTATGTCTTTAAGTGTGGGGAAGCGGAGGGATCCTGGAGGAGCGGGAAAGAACACACATTCCCAAAACAAAGGCTTAAAGATAGAGAGTTTTGTAAGCTTGTCTTCAGTGTGATAAGCTATAAATAGGTATGTTTTTTGGGGGGGAGGGGACAGGAAGTGGTCCCCAAGATAAAATCTGGTAAGAATTTGCCATCACCAATATATACGAGTGGATTTCACGTGTGTTTAGTAACAACTCTGCCCGTGAGAAATTAAAAAGCTCTGAAGGACGTAAGAGTCTCACAGTGTGGGCCAGCCCAGGAAAACTCTGCCTTGGGCTATCTGAACCCAAAGGATGTGAGAGTCTCTGAGTGTGGACACAGATTGGCCCAGAAAGACTCTACCTTGGGCTATCTAAGAACATGAGAGCTTTACTTGAACCCACAGAAAGGGGGAGAAAACCTACCTGGGGCCTGGCCCAGGCAATCTCCGGGGGGTTGCTCACCTGTGGTAAATTGGGTCAGTGTTGTTTGTGGACCGTCAGCAACAAGTTTACAGCTCCAGAGTGCAGAAGTGAGGAATTAATGCAGGATGTGGTCCAGTCCTGGTCCTGAACGGCAGGGGACTCAAACTGGGAAAAAGCACCAGGAGTCTCTCATCTGCTGTTCCCAGTCAGGGAACCATATGATAGAACTGTGGGGGATGAACTGTGGGTGGCTGAAAAGATAAGAAGTATGAAATATAAATGACTTATTTTCAGAATACTAGGAGAGACACCCCCGATCCCCTGGGGCATGGCATCTCCCCCTGGGGTCAGCGATCTCTCTGTGGAACACATGGAGTGGGGGTATACATATAGCTTAGGTTAGGGGTGGTGCCTGAGGGGCGTTAGGGATTCACAAGTAGCCCATTGGTATTCTTTTGGCATCAGAGGTAAATTCCTAGGGGTGGGGAAGATAGAGCCATAGGTAAATCCTACAATTCTGCTGAGTCACCAACCTCCCAAACAGAAAGATTATTAGACTCCAGAGGATAGAAGTCAACCAATGTACTCTGTCTATAACGGAGGATAAGCAAAGAGGAAAAATGTCCCTCATGCTTCCACAGAAAGTCACATGGTCAAGCAGGACTATGACCCAGCCTACCTAGCAGGTGACCCAGACAGAGGAGCTAAGAGGCTTTGTGCATAGTCTCAAGACACACACACACACACATACACACACACACACATATAGATACAGATATAGATATAGATAGATATAGATATAGATATATATCTCAAAGGATTAGTTTTGAGTAGCACATTTAATCGGTCTTATTTTGGTTTGGTCTTGGACACTCAGAAGAAATGTATAACCAACAGATTAAAAAATAACAATAATATAAGTTAGATAGATAAAGAATTCCCCAATTACTGCACTGATCCCTGATGGCAGTCTCCAGCTACTTGTAGCTTATTGTTAATGTGTTTCATTGAGTCTGAAAATTTGCAGTGGCAGCTGTAAAAGAAAGCTCTTTGAGAATCTTCAAATTCCTTTGCTAAAATTGTCCTTCAAATCTGCAGAGTTCTTGATCTATATATATAACTGAAGCTAGAGGGACTTATGCACTCATAAATGAAACTTGTTGCTTTTAGATAAATAATTCAAATCAGGTGAAGAAGATCTTAAAACAATAAAATAAATATCAGACTTATAGATAACTTTCATGAACAGGCAGACATAGGACCAAGCTAGTTATAGTTCCTACTTGAATCCATTAAAAATAGGATATGAACTTGTCTCCTCCCAATCTCTCCTTCCTCTCTAGTGCTTACCTTTTGGCCATGTATATTTGATCTTTTGGTAAAATTCATTTATTATCATGTAGAGGCTTTCAAACTCCAAATGACCATGCATATGGAGCCAATGATAAATGTGCCAGATTCCTGTAACTGGAGTTCATTAGACTGACATTCTGAAGAAAGTCCACAACTGCTAAATCCCAAAGTGACTTCTATTCAAGGTCCCTAAGATTAGCTTTCTGATATTTCTTAGCCTAGAGCAGTGAGAGTGTATTTTCACCCATTCTTCCCTAAAAGCAGTTAGGGATATATCCTAAGAAGGTGGAATATTGTAGACAGATAAATTAGATAGAAATTAATAGGCAGTCATAGAGGGATTGGGTCCATAAGGAAGTCAGCACAAAAATAAAGATATCAGATATGTAACTGGAGGTGAATCTGAAGAGATCCAGACCTCAGGGTGGAAAAGCAACATAGCTAGGTCTTCATAACTCCTAGAGATAAACAACAACTTCAGATTATAATGTAAGTAGAGTCATCTGGTCCACTGAGCTCAGATATGCACCAGCTGCATGTGTGTGTCCAAAACATCTGGACCCATACTCCCCTCGCTTTAATATTGTGAGACCATGAACTTGGCACCTCTGACATCCAGTAGATTGGGAGCTATATTTTTCCATATCACTCTGAAAGTTCTTGGTGGTTGGTGACATACAACAGCAGTGCATTGAACTATTAGGTATTCAGTCTTCACTGTCTGGTTTTATTCATGTCTATTATTCAAATGCAGGCTGCTTATTTTCTGAGTTGGTTATTACTACTACCATTTCAGCACTAGACAATGCCTCAGGTCTGTGTTTTTCCAATTTCATAATTTGCATGTTGTTCAGAGGCGATGGAGAAAGCACTTAACAAGGGTAGCTCATCCCCATAAGCCTCTGTATGGAGTCAGAGTAGGCCTAGGTATCTCATCAACAATCACTGACCTATGGTCAGTTATTGGAAAATTCTCTCTGGCACTGAGGTTTACTACTAAAGGATGAGTCCTAAGCTTCTATGAAGTAGCATGGTGCCTATCTCTTTGTTCTTCTCTTTAAGTGATTAATAATGTTCACATGTGATGCATGGGGTTGGTGAAAGGATGACTTTGGCATTCCTATATCTGCAAATGCTGCAACTCTGAGATACACCTTAAGCCCACACCTATCTGAGACCAGCACAAGTACAGAACCATGGCCTAGGCTTCCATGGCCTGCAAACCATTCTAGTATACTTGTGGCCTAAGATTGTTATGGCCAGCTTCAGATGATGCTGACCAGAAAACAAATCCATTTGCTTGGGGAAATAAATTCCTCCCTTAACACCAAGGTGGGGCTCTGAGTAGCCCAGAGGCTAAGTCTATGCTCACAACCCCAAAGACATGTATTGTTGGTATTCCACCAAGATGAGTTTCATTGACTCAGAACTAAATTTCAAGGCAAAGTTCTGGGCTTACTTTCTTCTCATAGTTCCCAGAAAATTTCATCTTTATTCTGTTTTTCCTGGGTTTCTGGGGTGGTATAATCTCTTTGCCTACTTGTTAAGGAGGTTCTAGAGGCTCTGTCTGTAGTTACTGTCTTCTGAAGTCTTTTCATGTATTTCTCTTATTATCTCAAAACTATGGGGCACATTCCTGCTCAGCTCTGCATGTAGGCATGATAATTATTGGAGAAGCTCTTTTAATATAAGGTTCATTTGACCTCAATTTATCTGGTTGATCTCAGCCTCCTTCATGACTGAGAACATCAAGATGAGAATAACTAGATTTTAGTGTTTGAAGAGATATACAATTGCCTGATTTTATAACATCCAGTTACAGAATCCTGGAGAAATGTCTAGAAGTCTTCAAACTTACATTAACTTTGGATTCCAGGAAAATCAGAGCAATGTAGAACACCTTATCAGAAGCTCACATTCCCCAAGTAGAAGCAAATACTCTGATGGTAATTGAGGTAGCCCTAACTCCAAAGCAAATACAATCATGGAAACACAATTAATTCTTAGCCATAAGAATTCTGTATTTACTAAAGCAGGACTAAGATAATGATCAACAGAGCCCAGCAAGCTGTCCCTTTCTTGTGAACAGACTATTCTGAAACTCATTTATCAGAGTAAGCTCCCTCTAGTTATTTTAGCTGAATAATTTTTTTCTCCCTCACTAAATGTATAATAAACCTTTTTATGCCTCACATTGAAATGTCCTGGAATTCTTTTTCTGTGACTTGAGTCAAGAGCCTACTTTGTTGGCAGAGTTGAGGTTCCCAACTGCTCTTTGGGAGACCTCCTCAAATCCCTTTTGGTGGCATAATGATACTTAAAACTTGAGAATATATGTTGGAGCATTGAGAGTGCCTTGATGTCTGGAGAGAAGGGGGTTGGAGAGGAAGAGGAAATTTGAAGAATGGAGTGAGAAGGGATAATTAAATGTTAACTATGTGAACTTATGTGAAGAATATATAGCTGTTCTTTGTAGAATTCTTTTGGCTCTTTGTATGTTTGAAAATTTCAAAAAAAGAAGTTGGAAAACTACAACATAAGGAAGGAGGTATGATATTTCCATACATTTTACAGAAATGAATTAGAATGAGCCCTATGAAGGGGTAGTTGGGTCTAGGGTTTTGGAGATAACTGGTAGTCTTAATGAAGTAATGATTTTAGAATATTTTACTGGGTAGGTGGTAAAATTAGATTACAAAGGGTTAAAATGATACAGCAGAAGCATGAAAGCAGTCTAAGATTTTAAACAATGGAAGAAAGAGACAGGAACCTGGCCTGAAAAATAATAAAATTTTGGAAAAATATTTATAGTGGTATTAATTTTCACTTTACCATGGATACACATTAATATAAAATTAATATTTCATCTTCTGGATCCCCTTTACATATGATTTTCCTGAAATATGAAATGATTTAGAAAATCAATAAAAGAATAAAATGCACAATGCTACCATCTAGAGTATCTATATACAATTACACCCATTGTTTGACAAAAATGCCAGTGGCTTGCTCAGAAAAGTTTAGAGCTTCTAAGTTTATATTTGTGTTTATGTGTTCAATACCATAAAAGGGAAACAATACTTTTGGTAAATCTCAGTGTTTGGGCTCCAATATTTTAATCTCT